TCTTTCTTTCTTTCTTTCTTTCTTTCTTTCTTTCTTTCTTTCTTTCTTTCTTTCTTTCTCTCTTTTTCGGGGTCTGTCTCACTATGTAGGTCTGGCTGCCCTGCAGCCCAGGCTGGCCTCAGACTCACAGAGATCCACCTGCCTCTGCGTCCTAAGTTCAGGGATTAAAGACCATGCCACCATAACTAGCTACAAATAACTCTTAAAACTCATACAAACCAAGACTGTGCGACCCAGTTAATCCAAATGTGGGGCTGCAGCTGTGCCTTGTGGGTGAGTGCTTGCCTCACGGGAGGCTCTGGGTTCAGTCTCTAGTACCATGTGCTCATACATACCTGTAATCCATGCACTCAGGAGGCAAAGGCGGGGTACACTCAAGGTTATCCTGGCTACATAACAACTTTCAAGGTAGCCTAGGATACGTGTATCCCTGTTCAACAACAGCAGCAACAACAACAACAACAACAACAACAACAACAACCAACAGAACCAACCTTGGTCCATGGCAACACCCTGTCAAAGAGGAGCGATGTTGGCTGGAGAGATGGCTCAGCAGTTAAGAACACTCCCAGGGCAGCTCACAATCATCTGTAATCGTAGCTTAACGGGACTTAACACCCTCCCCGACCGACCCCTCCTCCAGCACTGCACACATCTCATGCACAACCAGGCACGCAGGTACTCACACATACAGGTAAAATCAAAATGAACACATCTCAAAGCAACAACAAAGGCTGAGGTGTAGATCAAACTGCCCAATATGTAGGAGATCTTGAATTAAATTCCCAGCACCCCCTTTCAAATAAAAAAAACAAATGTAGTCGAAGAGATATTTCCCAGAAGTTTAGGCTGTTGGTGAACAGAGGAAAGATACCAGAGTGCAAAGGTACATATCATTCATTAGGAAAATGCCATTAACACACACGCTGTCATCGCCCTGATCTCCAGGCTGTTCTTGGGGTATTCCAGAACCCCAAGCTGTCAAGCTCTGTCCCAGAAGCCTTCACTTTCCTGAGGTGTGGTAGCTGTTGTCACAGCCTTGGTTGGCTCGCATCCTACTACCCTCATTAGTGGGACGTGTACTGTCTTTTTGCTCGATTCTCGAGGGTCCTGATTCTCCCCAGGGGGCTTGGCAGGACGCCCGTGAGGACGTGGCCGGTTGTATTCTGGAACATCTATGTTCGAAAACCACATCTCATGTCTTAACTTTGGGCCCAGGATTTCGAAGAACTGAACTGAATTCCCCTCACGGGGCTTCATCAAGTGTCGCCTACTTTCTGATTTGTGGTCCAGGTCCCCAGGTTTCCAGGCTTCTGACGGTGGGTGGCAACAGTTTCGGGTGCTGGAAGAGTAGATGAACGGGAGGCTCCACCTTTGTGCCTAGAAGTACCGAGGCGCTAGCGGGAGGGCGGGTGCTGCAGGCGGCTCCCTGGACGCGGGCAGGACCAGGCTCCTTCCCGCGCGCTCAGGTCGCCGCCCTCGAGTCACTCCGGCAGAGGGCGCCGGCGCCGGCCTCTCTGCCCATCGGGGCGGGCGAGCTGGGGACCCTGCCTCCTGCGCGCCCGCCTGCGTTCCAGCCCCCCCCCCGTGCTCGTCCCGGCGGCCGGCAGGACGCCCGTGCCGGAGCCCCGGAGCCTCTGCAGCCGATCGGTGCAGCGGGGCAGGGAGATAGGGACGCCAGAGTGGCCCTCGAGGGAACCAGCCTGCGAAGCGCGGGGAAGGAAGGCGCGGACGCGTGGCGGGGAGGGGTTGAGGCGCCCCAGCCCGAAGCCCGAAGGCCGAGCGCGCGGCTGGCGACCCGGCACCCATGGCCCGCAGCATGGCTCGGGGCTGGGTGCGGCCGAGCCGTGTGCCTCTGTGCGCCCCCGCCGTCTGGACGGCTGCGGCGCTCCTGCTCTGGACACCATGGACGGCAGGTAAGGACCCTGCGTGCGCCCTCCGAGCATCGCCCGCTCCTCCGCCACTCTCTCCCGGCCGCCGCGCGGGCGCTGGTGCTCCCGGTCGAGGGGCGCCAGGCAAGGCCATGCTTCGCGCGCTCGGCGCCAGCTTGGGCCCGTGCCCTCAGTTGCCTGGGGCTGGTTCCAATGAGCTGCGCTCTAGGGACCACTAAGTGTTTCCAGAGGCCGGCGTGGGCAGCGGCGGAGAGCTTTTCTTAAGTGCATCTCAGTGGAGATGTGCACCCGTAGACGTGCTCTGTGTGTCCCAAGACCCGGACTCCATCGTTTCTTCCCAGGTCACCGCCGTTTCAGTCCACATGCATCCCTTGAACCTTGTCTGCCTCTGGGGCAGATGTGGTCCTAAGTTAGTCTTTTTCCCCAGGGGCAGTGGGGGACGCATGATCGAAGGTCTTGGTTTTCCTTTTGTTGGAATTAGTGGCCAAAGTGGTGTTTGGTGGGTTCTGTTTAGCTGGGAGCTTGGCCTCCAGGACTTGATTTGCCAGGTTGAAGGGAGAGTGACCCCCCCGGCTCCCGTAGTGTTTCCTCGAGCGTTTCTTCCACCTCTGGGGGATCCTGTGTGGGCTTGATCAGGGCCCAGGAGACCCTGTCAAGAAGCACAAAAGTGTTTTTTGGAGGATACCTGGGCAGAATTGACTGTGGTGGCCGGAGGAGGAGGCGATGATCCTCCTAGTGCAAACCCCAGAGAACCTACTGGCCATCAGGTTTGTGGCCCGAATCCCCGTACCCTGCTGGCTTGGGTGAAGGTAGGCACGGCCTCCGGGCTCAAGGAGGGTCAGGGACTCATGAGGTTTGCTGTAAGTTTCTGAACTGCGTGTGTGAGACGCGCCATACTGGGACTGCGACGTCAGTGTTCCCCAGCCCCCAGTGTTCCTGTAAGCAGGTGAGAGTTAGGGGGCAGAGGCAGGCAGCAGGACTCCCGGGCTCTTCCCAAGTCCTGCTGTAAGACGCGCTTTCGTGTGTCCCGCCCAAAGAAGGAAGGAAACGCTGAGCAGCCTTCCAGGAGGGCGTTTGGGTTTAAACTGATGCTGAAGGTATCCACCGTTTCTGATCACTTGATTTGCATTGATACCCTTGTCCGAAAGCAGGAACCGCTGAGTGCAGAATGAGAGAGTGCATGGTATCCTCAGTTAATGTCATTACCAAACTGCCCCCCCCCGCAAGGATTCCCCTTCTCTACCATCAAGAAATTCTTTTGAAACTAGGGGACCATAAACTGGTCGCCTCCGTAGGGATTTTGGCTTTTGCCACAGGCCCTTGCAGGTCCTGCGGTTTGGGGTGTCTTGAGGTATAGTTGGGGTGGGGGTGGGGGTATGGGATCTGCTATGGTAAGGGGCGGGAGCCTTGGTTGCTTAAAGTCAATTTGGTAACCAGAATAGAAAAGTCCACTTGGATTTTGCGTGAAGTACCTCCTTCACTTTGTTAGAAAGGATAATCATGTCTCATCAAGAGAGCCATGAAAGCCACCAGACTTTCTCTCTGTTTCTCTGTCTCTCTGTCTCTCTGTCTCTCTGTCTCTCTCTGTCTCTCTCTCTCTGTCTCTCTCTCTCTGTCTCTCTCTCTCTGTCTCTCTCTCTCTCTCTCTCCTTATGTGGGGGTAAGTTTTCTTTGCTAGTGACTCTCTAGAAAGAGTAAGCTGGGGGGGGGGAAAGAGTAAGCTATGTTTCTCTTGTTTCTGGATTGCTTACTAGGCAAGTTGACAGATAAAGTCACGTGCACGTGCGCGCGCGCGCGCACACACACACACACACACACACTCACAGAGATAGGAAATTATACAGAAAATGTGGGTGTTTGAGATCTTTTTTGTTGTCAAGGAGTGAATCCCAGCAACTGGAGAGTTCTATACTTGAAGTGATTTGGGATGTAAAAACATGGAAAAGTTATTTTTAAAGAATATATGTTTTTTAAACATATATATATGTATATGTATTTTTAAAGGATATATTTTTAATATATATATATATATATATATATATATATATATATATATATATATATACACATATATATTTGTCCGTTCCCTAAGGACACAAATATCTGCTCTGGGACTCTGTTCTTTGGGTTAGGCAGGGGCAGGGCAGGAGTGATGAGCTTATGCCTTCTCCTGCCTCTCGTTTTGGCAGGGCCCAGATTGCCTTTGGCCCAGATCCCTGAGTGGTGGTCACAATACCCAATGACAGTCTTCTTAGAAGAAAAGAAATGAGATCATCGTGTATAAAAGACTTTGTGGAAACAGAAAAGATTTTGTGTGTGTAGTGAAACATGTTTTTCTTATTATGGTTGAGTACCAAGCAGGGAAGAGCTACACATTTGAAACCTTTCAGTGTTTAATAACAATTTCAAGTCAAGCCCTGGTATCCAATGATGAAGATTGCCACCCTGAGAATCTGAGCCCCATGGGCTCCCTTGGGACACACATTGTCAGGGAAGGAATCTGACCAACCAGGTTCCATTTAAAACAAAACAAGACAACCCAGAAGGTTATTTTTCTTCTGGAGAGCCACAACCTGTGGCCTCAGGCATGCCTAGCTGGCACTTTACCACTGAGCTAGGCTCCATCCCTGTGGCTGTACTTGATTAGTTAACCTGGTATAGTTAGAAAGCCAACAAGCTTTCTGCTTGGTATTTTTTGCAGACAAAACCAAAACAAAACCCAAGCCACTGGTTTAAAAATTTGCATTTCTGGGAGCAGTTTTGACAGCAGTCCTCTGCAGACACTGAAAGCAGCACACAGTGAAGTTGCTATTTTTGTTGTTAAACATTGTTCCCACTGTTCACTTGGAGCATAGCTGTAATTGGTGTTTGTGTGACTTGCAGAGATTCTCCCACTAGTTGCCTCTTTAAACAGATAGCCTGGAGAACTTACAAGCTTGGCAGAAGCTACACTTTATGCAGGCTTCTTCCTCCTCTTCCTCCTCCTCTTCTTTTTCCTCCTCCTCCTCTTCCTCCTCCTTTTCTTCCTCCTTTTCTTCCTCCTCTTCTTCTTTTTTCTTTTTCTTTTTCTTTTTTTTAGGAATCTTCTAAAGGGAATGGGATAGATACTCAGGAGTTAGAAATGGCTCCTTTGACTGGTAGGGTAGGTGAATCCTTTTTGGAAGTATTTCAACTGTCCTTTAGAATGAGTTGTGGGGTAGGCCAGGAAGGGAAGGTGTCACTATGAAGCATGCTACTGCTAAATGTTATGCCTACTGGAAAGTTCATGGAGTGTCCCCTAAGATGACATAGGTCTCCTGGTATTTATCTGCTGGTTGTTTGGAGACTCGGAGAGCAAACAGTGATGTCTTTTCGACCTAGTGCTGACTGCTGGGTTTGCTTTGTTACACCCTGCTCGGGGTTCCCTGGGCTGGCTCATCCCTCCATGGGTCTCCTGGCTGGAACTACTCTTTGTGAATCATTAGGGTGTTTCCTCCTTGGAAAACTCTGGTGACTACCTAGAGGGGACTCTACTTCCTCAGTGACAAACACACAGGATTTCAAAGCAGAGCTAGGATTGTGTTTTTCTTGGGTCTGTGTGGTTACTAGTCATTTTGTGTAAAAGACTGTTGGGTAAAAAGGACCCATTTGGCCACTGTGGCTTTGGAGTCTTGGATTTGTACCATTCCATTGATCCCCTGGTGCCAGTGAGGTGCTGAATGGGTGGTGTAACCTCTCCAGTTTTGGAGTAAAAAAAAAAAAAATCAAAGCAATTAAGGGGGCTGCAGGGGCTGAAGCCCAGGAGCTATGGTGGGAGCCGACTTGGCCTGTGGAAGGCCTTCTTTGCCTAGCGTGTATTTATTTGGTTTAGTTTGAGGAGCTTGCCAAGTTGGAGACCAGGGTGGGACAGCTCTGCTTACATGTACAGTGCTCATAAAAACCGTCTAGGGTGTAATCTGTTTGAAGTCATATTGACAGAGTAGCCAAGGAGCGATGGGTTGGACCATGTTGAAGATTTTCGTAACGCTTTTCAAAAATGGGACTGTTTTTGGTTGGGTTAAGTGTCGCTGATGAGGTTTCTGGGGTTCCTTTCCTTTAAGTTCTAATTCTGATACAACCCCCTGCAGCCCCCCTACCCTGTCAAAAAAAGCCAAAGGGAAGGAAATAATTACAGAAAAAAAAATTGAGCCTAATTTGACTAAGTAGCTTGGCCTCTAGAAGGTCTTAAGCCCCAATGGGAAGTGTGTGTGTGTTTAATTGTGTTGGAATGAGTTTCAGTAAGCTCTCTGCCACTTCTGAGATGTTATCAGGGGAGAACGTGCCTGCTGCCCTGAACCTCCGGGAGTGGGGGAGGGGTCCCCTCCATCACCAATACACTCAGACTAATGGCTTCCACACCCTCCTAGAAGGGCAGCTAGCTGGATGTACAGTTAAATTACAGAAACATTTTGGCTTGCACTCATTGTAACATTTCTGCTGTGGAGTATAGGAGCTGCCAGGCACATGTGACTGTTTAAGTTAAAATTATTTAAAATATATAAAAAAAATACATTTACTTCCTTTGCTTCAGTGGCCTCATGGCAGGTGTCCTTAGCCACATATGGCCTGCTGGGATCTGGTGAGCAATTGCATTGGGTCTGTGGCTCGTGGTCAGTAGTTTTAGTTTCTTTATTGTCTTTAGTCTATAAACATAGATGTGCTTACATCGTTCATGTCGTTCGTCAACCTTTTATAATCTGTAGTCTCTCCAGTCTTTCGCTTCCACAATTAATAACACCCAAGCTCTCTCTCTCTCTCTCTCTCCCTCCCTCCCTCTTTCTCTCTCCCTCCTTCTTTCTGGTGTTATTATAATTGAAAATGCCTTCTTAATTTCTTTGCGTGTGCGCATGTGTGGGTTGTTTGTAGAAGTTAGCATGTACAAGCTAACTTTTTCCCCTATGAGTTTGAAGAATTTATTCGTTCAGAAGCACTTTGTGGATCTATCCTCTGTGTAAGATCCTCTTGGTTAGCTGCACAACAGACAATTATCCTCATTTACTTATTTA